TTTCTTTCTTTCTTTCTTTCTTTCTTTCTTTCATTCATTCATTCTTTCATTCATTCTTTCTCTTTTGTCGTTTTTTCAAATTCGTTCATATTTAATCCTTCGTTCGATAGCTTATTTTTAACATTACGTTTTTGTATTTTCCTCAGTACGAGTTGTTTTATTCGAATTATTTCTTATAATTTAATTTTCAGTCAAATTTACTTTTATTTTGCTAAATTACAAAAGCCCAAGCTGTTTAATATAATTTGAGTTCTTATAGCATCGAAGATGACAAGATCCTTCCCGCATGTCATAATCTTAAAAGGTCTTGTAAGGGACATGCCAGTTTATTAAACATTGATATCAAACAATGTTATTCGCTTTTTGAATAGGATACGACAATAATAAGGGAATATTCAATAGGAATTGCCAAATGTAGATTTTAATATTGTGTTTGTATTTCAATAAAGATGGTATGGTCTAGATCTAGTGATGATCGTGCTGTTGATAATGATGAAGGTGGTGGTAGTGGGGATGATGATGATGAATAACAGTGATGATGGTGTTGCTGGTAATGATGTTGATAATGATGGTAGTAGTAGTGATGTTGATGATGATGATGAATAACAGTGATGATGGTGTTGATGGCAATGATTTTGATAATGATGTAGGTGGTGTTCGTAGTAGTGATGTAGTAGTGATGATAGTGTTGGTGATTATGATGTTAATAATGTTGAAGGTGGTGGTGTAGTGATGTTGATAATGAATAGCTTGATTACAGCAGTTACGTTTTTAATTGTTTTCGTAAACATTTCTTTTTCTTCAAAAGTTGTTGATATGCTTATGTTTCATCGTGAATATCTCAAAGCCGACCCAGAGACACCCCTTTTTTATTCCAGATTAGCATCAGCACTGAAATAGTGGCTCAAAAACTTTTTCATGGATTTATTTTATTAGTACGATTGCCTTGATACGTCACTTCCGTTCTTACATACCACGTGGATGTCTAACACAGGGCTCCCGCTGAATTTCAAAGAAAAACTCACAAATGCATAAATGCACATCGCGTTGCATGGGACGATATTTGGGACAAATTTAAAGCTAAGAACCACAGCAAAAACATTTTTATGTTGTCAAATATGGACCAAGAAGTATTCTTCAGGAATTCAGGTGATTTTTTAGCAAACCAGATTTGTATATTTTTACTTTCTAGAAGGAAAAAAACACGGTTTTGTACGCCTCCTATCGGGTCCTATCGGCAAATCAAAGAAAACTTTCACTCGGTAGTTTTAATATTTATTTAAATGATTTATTTTAATGTTGAATGAAATATGAATAGGAATGCATATTACACCAAATATTCGCTATTTATTCTGCTTTTCCAACTAGTATGATTAAACAAAATATTCGTGTAGTTTTACATGTTCTTGAAGAACTCAATAATAAGCTAAAAAAAATTTTTAAGAACGTTTATTACTGACAAAGAAAATTATTCTTATACAAAGGAAATATTTAATAAGTTATTGTTCTTCGATGAAGGAGTTTTCTAATACTTTGAAGGCTTCGAATATCGATTTTTCTATTTTTCTCTGTCTGAAAACCAAACGAACGAAAAGTAGAGTTGGTCACGCTGTTTCGTAAAGCTGCGTTACACTTGTCACACATTTATCAGCACTCCATTTTATCCCCATTTTTTTTCTTAAAAAGAATCATCTTTTTAAATCGCAACTTTGGTTTTCCTCTTTTGTGCGATGTGTTAATTACGTAATAATACTGAATAGTAAAATAGCTGTGTAGATCAAAAATATCATTGGTGCATGTAAAAAGAGAAAAAAAAAGTTAATCTCCTCAGGAAAACATATAAATAATACCATTTTGAGTGCAGAATTTGGCAAAAATTCTTTTCTCATATGGTCCAAAAATATATGTATATATACATTATAAAGTGTTATGAGAGAGAAAATTAATGTTTTTACAGACTAAGCTAGACATCAGTTTTCTAATTACTATTTCTTATCGTATGAAAACAAGATAAAGAAC